GTTTGTACACCTTCCAATTGCTTCTTGGATGCAACTTGCTCATTTTCAATGCCCCCAATGGATACTCCTTGTGATTTTTGACCTTGGAGGATTTGAAATAGCATATCCTTGATGTCCGGGTCTTGGTCCTTGCGTTGCACTTGCTGTGGTCTATAGTTGGAATTCCCTTGATAACCTTGACTTCATTGACCTTGTTGTTGATATTTCGGTTGAAAACCCGGAGGTCCTTGGTTGTTCCGTTGGAAGGCGGGTTGAGGATTTAGCGCATTCGACGTGTTCTTGTAGGAGAAATTGGGATGATTTCTCAATCCCGGATTGTATAGGCTGGATGGATGGGGGTATTGGGTTGGGCCGACATGACATAGTTGGCTTCTTCCGCTTCTTGATCAACCATGTACATACCCGGTTGAACTTGTGCTAAATTGGGATCCTCCATAGCAGCTACTTGTTTGGCATTTGCAAGTTGGACCTTTATCTCCGTAAGGTCGGCTAGCACCGCCTTAAGAGCTGCGTTCTCTCCCACATCACCTTTCACTGAGCTTCTTCTACTAAACTCGTTGGACGTATGGTTGCGTCCCTTGGCCAGTTCTGCAATTGTCGCCTCTAGCTCTTGGAACGGGATGTCATATATGTCACCTCCACATGCTCACCAATCCAAGACCGAGTATCATCCTTCAGCTCATGGATAAAGATGGATAGAAGGTAGTCTCTTTCCATTCCATGGTGAGGGCACATTCTTTGATATTCCTTGAAGCGTTCCCATGCATCATGGAGATTCTCCCCATCTTCTTGCACAAAAGCATTAATTTGATTCCTCGCATGTTGAGTCTTGGTAGGGGAGTGTTGGTTGTAATGCTATAGGATGATCCGTGATATGACATTTTGACTTTGTATTGATTCATTGGTTTATGAATGCATTACATTCCCGTTATATGATTGGCATGTTTGTTATATTTCGGCATCCTTGAATCATTATAGAATGATTCTAAACTCCCTGGTCAGTTATCATTGTGGGAACAATGATGAATTAAGACTAGCATGAGGTGTGATTGATGCATTGGATGCATATCACAATCATGGGTACTCGTTGTGAACGAGTGACTGGTTGACCCGCATGAGATTGTCACATGGACAGAGTCATGACTTGAATCTCATAAAGCGGTTTGTTCTTGGATCCTCAGACCTGAGATGTCTAGAGTATCTGATATGAGGAGTGGCGTGTCTTGACTGCGTCAAACGTCGTCTTTAACCGGATGATCATAACGGCGTTGATCAGATACGTTCACGAATCATATGGAGATAATAGACATGCAATATGGGACTTATCACCTCCTCAATAGGAGAGATATCGCTGGGCCCTCTCGTGGAAGTCGGACTATGAAAATGCGTGGCCACGCTATAGATGAAGTTGCATCTATTTTATTAGTCGATTTGCCAAGACGAGAAAGCGGTTGAACTTGAAGGGTGGCTCAAACCATGCCCTTGTTCAACACATGATATCGTGAGATAAAGGATCAGAACTCGAGCTGTTATTGCCTTGGTTAGATCACCTCTAACTCAATTCTAAATGGGTGGTCATGGCGTCTTGCTAGAGGCTAACCATGACTTGTAGATCGGGAATGGTTCTCGAGGCTGCTGCCACTGCGAATGGGCCTACAGGGTCACACACCATTAGGGATGGACTTATATGTGAAGTTTCAGAAAGGAAGACTTGGATTTGGTCGGAAAAATCGTTTTCGGATCAAATCAGAGTGTCAGAACGTTTTCAGCCTTCTGACTCGGACCGAGTCAGTACTTGACTCGGACCGAGTCAGTTCCGTGCGAGTCGAAGCCCAGAAAGTGTTTTGGGCTTGGCTGATGTTTTGACTCGGTCGAGTCAAAGTTTTGACTCGGACCGAGTCAATACTAAATGGGCCGAGTCAAGAGTTGACAATGGGCTTGGGCTGATTCGTTCTGACTCTCTTCCGCTTCTTGATCAATCATATACATTCCCGGTTGAATTTGCGTTGGATTGTGATCTTCCACAGCAGCTACTTGTTTGGCATTGGTGAGTTGGACTTTTATCTCAGCAAGGTCGGCCAACACTGCCTTAAGAGCTGCGTTTTCTCCCACATCTCCTTTCACCGAGCTTCTCCTACTGAGTTCGTTGGACGTATGGCTGCGTCCCTTGGCCAGTTTTGCAATTGTCGCCTCTAGCTCTTGGAAAGGGATGTCATATATGTCACCTCCGCACGCTGCATCAATCCAAGACCGAGTATCATCCTTCAACCCATGGATAAAGATGGATAGAAGGTAGTCTCTTTCCATTCCATGGTGAGGGCACATTCTTTGATATTCCTTGAAGCGTTCCCATGCATCATGGAGATTCTCCCCATCTTCTTGCACAAAAGCATTAATCCGATTCCTCGCATGTTGAGTCTTGGTAGGGGAGTAGTATTGCATAAGGAATTATTCTTCCATCTCCCTCCATGTCGAGATAGAGTTTGGCTCAAGAGTGTAGAGCCAATCTCTAGCTCTCTCCGTAAGCGAGTAGGGAAAAGTCTCAAGGAATACGTCTTCAAGAGTAATCCCCAGTCCCTTCTTGATTGCCTTACAGTTCATCTTGAAGTTCGTAAGGTGAGCATTCAGGTCCTCGTTTGGTCTCCCACGGAAACTCATGTTGTTGAGCATTTGGATGCATTGCGGTAGGAGTTCAAGTTCTTCTAGTGGTCCCCGATTGATGCATGATAGCAACTGTGTGTGCTTCGGTTGTGTGTACGTTCGAAGCGTTCTAGAGGCTACTTGGGCTGGACCTCTTTGGGCATTGGCCCCTCTCAACAGCTCTTCGGCCATTTCGGGTTGTTCTCTTCGTGCGTTGTTCTCTCTCAGCATTTCTTCGGCCATACCCCACTGTCTTTGTTGTCTCCGAGCGAAGCGTAGGGTCCTTTCTATTTCGGGGTCGAAGATGAGTTGATCTCTACCGGTTGTGCTTCTTGTCATGCACTGGAAGAGCTGCCCACCAAAAAGACAAAACAAACCGAAAGTGCTATGAAACAGTTATGTCGCAAAGTAATCCAATCAAGAATCCAAGCAATGGTGATCTAGCAAAAATCTAGACTAACACGAAAACGCCTAGTCCCCGGCAAGGGCGCCAAAAACTTGATGTGCACGCACCGAGTCTTATATTTAGTACCTGATTCGTACCACTATCTGCAAGTATACGGTAGTTGTAGTACCGGGGTCGAACACGAGGACTATGATGTATTAGTCTATCTTAAGCTAGATTAGGTGATCAAGTAAAAATATGGTTTGTGGTAAGTATCGGAATACGAGAAAGCGATATAAATTAACGGTTTGTAAAACGACGGTTTGAAGCGTTGTAGGCTCGGGATCCCTCAAGAATCGCATGGACGGTTAGTGATGGTACAATGCCTATGGGTTTGTCTTCCAATTGGGGGCTTCAAGCACTTCCTCTAGAGTTTGTCTCTCCCGAGCTTAAACTCACTACCTAGAGAATCGATTCACCCATTTTCCAATGATCCAAATGATTTCTAGATGCATTAACGTACCCCATCATGAACCCTAAGCAAGCTAAGCCATCTCCCAATGTGAATAACTCACTCATTTGACATTTGGTTCTAAACATCATTCCCATATCCCTATGATCAATGTGTTCTACAATCATATCAATTAGGGTTTCAACCAAATCAATAGCATTAAGCACAAAACATCAAAACAATGGAAGAAAACTCAAAAGCATCATAGATAAGCATAGGTGTCCATACAAAAGTGGGGATCCCTCACCCACAACAAGGTTACTACTCCATATCTAAAGGTCCAAAACAGAAAACAAAAGGGGAGAACATAGAAAAGGAGAAGAAATGATCAATGTGATCTTCAATGGTGATCTCCTTCTTCAAGATGTCTCCCTAGGTCTTCAAATCTCCCTCTCCTCTTCTCCAAGGTGTTTTTCTTTCCAAGTGTCGAGTCCCCCTTCTCTCTCCTCAAACTCCCCTTTTTATGCAAGTGTTCCAGCTAGGTTTCTCCTAAAAAATCGGGCTTTTCCTTTTTGGGCCGGTTTTGATATCGAGCGGTCGCTCATTTTCTCTTCAGGGTCGCTCATTTTCTCTTCAGGGTCGCTCATTTTCTCCTTTTCAGTTACAAGCGGGCGGTCGCTCAGAATTTCAGGCGGTCGCTCAGGAAACGGGCGGTCGCTCAGAATTTCAGGCGGTCGCTCATTCTTCTCTGGCATTTCCAATTCTACGTTTTTATTCATTTTCAGGCGGTCGCTCATGAAAACGGACGACCCACCTGAATTCTCTGAGCTTCCCGGGTCTTCCCGAAACCGTGCTCTTCCGTGCCACGCTCGTGAGAATTCTCATGGAATTGTCCTGGAAGGGAAAAACAAGCAAAAGAACCTACCCATGGTCGTCTAACGTCCTATAATACCTAAAATGTATGAAGAAGTGGAGTGCACGGCGTTAGAAGACCGGTGAAAAAACCGTGTGATCACGTAATAACTGATCAAAACTATCTTCTGTAACTTCTACATCTTACAATAACTGCAGCTTTTCAACTCCCACGTAACTGCTTTTGAGTCATATTTCCAACACTCCTCCGGCTCTCTTCAAAATCGTCTCATTTATTGATTCATTTTTCTGATTTTTTTAGGTTTTGGGGATGTTGCCCATCCCCCTTCTTCTCCTCCCTTGATCTCGTCCCAGGAGGTTCCCTCTCATTCAGAGGTCCACCAATCATCATGACACTACTCGCAATCTATATCTTCAAGCAATTCACACCGAAATTCTTCATTCTATAGCAAATCTTTCAGCAACGTCTACTGTCGAGCGACATGATTTCACGATATGGGGATTATCGATAGATACTAATTGCATCTCTGTCAAACGCGTGAGGAATCACATACTCATCTCTTCTTTGAGATTCACATGTCTAAATATTTGTTTTACAAATATTTTTAAATTGGAATACTCTAAATTTATCCCCATGTACAAATTCAAAAATAAAAGAACCATGCCTTTATTCTCGAGCAACTAAACTGCAAATCTTTTTGGCTTTTAATACAAGTGAGCAAGATCTTCAACAACCTTATGGGCAAATCAAAGCAACAGCGAAAGGGATTTAAAAGAGAAAAAAATTAAAGAAAAGGAGAAAATTCAAGGGAGGAACCCAACAAGAGGAACGGGAACGGCAGAGTAATTGCTCATACAACCGTTTACGCCTGAGGAAGACGGCGGAGGCTGCCGGAAAAATGCTCCGTCGAGGGCTTCAGTCACGGCAACGACGATATCGACGGCCAACTTCATCAGCTCGATGCAAATCTCCAATCTTTGGGTCACCATATTGTTTCTTTCAAGAACAGATAGAGAAAAAAATATATTTTTGGTGCGCTTTTAGGGTTTTTTTCCTCCTATTTTATTCTTCACGTCTCAATCTCTCGCGTCTTTGCAGAGTCTAACATGCAAGAGCCTCTATATATATAGCTATATATATACGCAGAAATATAGATATATAATACAGTTCTTGCATGTGTATAAATTTAAGATATAGGTCGATATGCTGACGTGGAGAAAATGTGTAAGCTAAAGTTTTGAGGTGGTTTCTTGGAAGATGCTTTTGTTGGCTTTTCGTCTCCGAAGGGCCAAATCGTATGGGAGTTATTTATTTACACACACACGTATATATATAATCATATTCTATACACACAAGATTGTGTGTGTATATATATATAGATATGTGTATGCGTGTGCTGTGCCATATAGAGAGGGCCGGATTATATGTTTCAATACATTATAGATACATTTCATATGCCATATTTCATGCCATGCCATATAATTAATGCAAATTTTTCAGAAATCTGTTCATTATATTTTAATATTGGTAATGGTGGTGAAGAGATGAATATTACCTAAATATTTATTAATCACCACTACGCGATAAAATATTGTAAGGAAGACCAGTAGACCTTTAACGCACGGGAAGAGTGCCGAAATTTTTAGTGGTTGAAAAATATAGTTAATATTATAAAGAAAATATTTAAAGTATTGATACCTTGAAAAAGTGTCGTATTTTTTTCATATATTAATCTCGTGGTTCTCGTTAATTTTGAATAGTTAAACTAAATATTTTTATTAACCTTTTTTTGTTTGTTTGGGAACCAAACGGATGAGGATTGGGAAAAAAGATTCATCAAATGTCACCACCACACATATAATATAAGATACTCTTTATTTTTTTGAAGATTCGTATCTTCTATCTTTTATTTAAGTATATTTAATATTGAGAAAAACAATATCCACTGGCCTCAAAGTTACTAAACAGACCAAACAACCTCATTTAATCCATATAAATCATTACAATAAAGCGTAAAGCACCAATAAACTTATTTCATCGTTTAAATTCAGAATTGCAAAAATGAGTTCTATGTGAATGCGCTATGTTTATTATATTAATTAAATTATATATATATGTATTATTGGATTAATGTGTCATTGATGGTAATTACTTAAACTATCTAAAAAAATTTTATAAAATAATTATTAGATAAAAATGCGCGTATTTCGATAAAAGAAATTAATATTCTATTGAAAAAAATTCCTGAAAATTTTCAAACTTGCAATTCGGTAAAAAAATAATTATTAAACTTATAAGTGTTTCTATTTATTCCTAAACTTGAAAAATTGGATACAATAATTTTTAAATTTGTTTAAAAATGTCATAATTATCCTAACAATATTTGACAAAAATAATATGTTGAACAATTCTACATGACGCGTAAATTGTCAAGACACGTCAGACTTTTATACCATGTATGCAAAATTGGTTTAATAGACACGGTTCAACAAAACCGGTTCATAATAGTGAAAATTCCGTTTCACCGAAGATCTGGTATAACGACGGAGATCGGAATAATTACCATCACTGACAGTTTTCGAGTTCTAGATCTAGATCGACATGTGTCTCTGTCGAAACAGAACCGTTCGGCGTCGAAGTAACCGTCATCAGGGCTAGTTCTCTTTCATCCCAAATTTTCCGGTGAGACTAGCATCGTTCAATGAAAACGCGGCGATCAAAAACGCCATCGATAAATCTGAAAGTACCCTCCAAATTGTTACTTTTACTGAATCAGAATTTTTGTTAAACCGTGTCTATTAAATCCGATTCTGCATATATGACATTACAATCTGACGTGTCTTGACAATTCATGCGTCTTGTAGGATTGTTCAACATATTATTTTGGTCAAATTTATGATAAGGACAATTATAACACTCTTAAACAAATTTAGGAATTAGTTTTCCACTATATAGCAAGTTTGAAAATTTTTAGGGTTTTTTCCATATTCTATATGTAAATTTCTCTAGATCTATTTATTTATATAACTGACGTAAAATTTTATGAAGAGACGAAAATCTCATTATTTACGTATTACGTTTTATCTTTCTTCAAAAATAATATTATGGTATATAAATTTGACGTGATGTAAAAATTGAATAAATGTATATTTTAAAAAATAATTTATTTTATATGAAAACAAATAAAAATAAAAAATTATGTGTGTAATTCGAACTATGATTAGGGTTGTGAGTGATTGTCGGTGCAAGAAGCACCGATAATGAGCAGTTTTCTGAGTATCACTAGGTCAGAGAGATATGGAAATATATCGAATGCAAGAGAATAACAGAAAAGGCTATATAGATGTGACATTATACAGTCTAAGATAATTTAAAATAATTCTCAGAAAGATAACTAAGTTCGAATACATTATTCACTTAAAGTACTCCAAAAAGAGTTTTCTTCCATTTTACTAAACAAAAGGCAAAAAGGTTAGTATCGAAAAACAAATTCACTCCTCTGAAATCGTCGGTGTGTTTTTATACGAATGTTTTTTTTTGGTAAAATTTTTTATGTGCATATTTGTTGTTATCCATCCAAATTTTTATTTAATTAACGATAATATATATTAGTATAGTAAAGAAGATATGTACTGATGAAAAATTAAACATATATGGCTAAGTTGACGTTTTTTTGTATGAATGTGATTATAATATTAAGCAAAAATATATTTACAAAAATTCAACCCATAACTGCATCCAAACACAATACTTGGCTGCCCAATAATCAATCAAAAGCTAATTTATATAGCAATATTTAAATATACAGCTCCTAGTAATCAACTTCTATATACGTAATACCGATCGTGTAACATAAGGTTATCAATATCATACTTCCCCCTTTTAGTCGAGAGGAAGATGTCTCGGATCAGGTTCCCGATGTATATATGCATTTCTTATAATGTTCTTTTCGTGCCAGAGAAAATTCTCGAATTTCGTTCTCTCCAAATCTCATATACTAACACCTGAATAATTAGGCATAGGATTAGATAGCGGTTACATAATCTGTTTGTTTGACTATTAAACTAAGAAGTGCAAAGATTCAGGTCTTCCGGGGATGGTGGCTAACACCTGGATGCGTAAAAGATCCAAAATGTCGAGGTATAAGGGCAAGCAAAAAAATAAGTGTAAATGACTTTTCTGGGCCTCTTCGCAGAGAATATATACATAATCTACTTGAATACTCCAATTTATCAACCTATCTTTTGTTGGAAGCCTCTGGTTTATTGTCTGCCAGAGAACAAGAGAGTGTCTCGGGATAGCTAGTTTAAACCAAACTAGATCATATCATGGAACTTTCGACCTCGGATTCCTTAGTTGTTTCCATGTGAAAGATGATGAGAAGGAACTTTTAAACTCCCTGTATGGTCTCTCCATAGATGTATATCATCACCTTTATCCGGCTGCGGCAGGTCAGTAGTGATAAGAGCCTGTTGGATTTGCCCCATTCCTTCCCCTCTCGTCGGTGGAAGATGCCAATGATCCTCTGCGTCAATCACCCTAGTTGATTTCGATATATGGGCAAGACTCGGCCACGCTCGCCGAAGATCGTAATTAATGGGCTTGAAGATACCCATTGATCATACCAAAACTAAGTACCCCTGCCATCTCCCACTTGTTTCTGTTGAAACTTCCTGACCGTGACCATCGGATGGATGAGTTTATTAAAGTTCCATGAGGGAATTACCGAAGGCTTACAAATCCAGTAATATCCCCCCTTCAATAAGTGCTTTGCACTCCAAGCATACCATAGTGAACCAGGTTTGCTGAGTAGGATCCGTATTAGTTTCAGTCGAAAAGTCATATGTTGTTCCCAAGCTTTCGAATCCCCAATCCCCCTTCAGCACGAGACAAGCATACTGAGGCCCACGCAATGCTATGTTCCGTTGATTTTTCTAATGTATTAGTTCAGAGAAAGGAGGAACAAAATGAATCAATCGATTTGAGAATGAACTTTGGAAGAGCAAACATCGAGCTCCATGAATTAACCATCCTATAAATTACCGTTGAGATCAGTTGTACTGTCCCCGCCGTAGTTAAGAACTTTGTCTTCCACAAAGTGAGCTTGTTTTTAATTCTCTCAAGCAGAGGTTGAAAATCCCGTTTCGATAGTCTTTTAGAGCGTAATGGGCTCCTAAGTATTTAACAGGAAGGGAGTCAAGAGGAAGGCTTGTTGCCGATGCTATATGTAACACCCATATCCTACTTCCCGTGAACAGGATACGCCACATGGACTAAAACCGATAAAATAATACCAAACCAAAATACGGGAAGTTAAAAACTTTTATTTCACGAATACGCAGCGGAATAGTTTAATACAACATTTAATTACCACATGTCTGATCTTAAAATATAATGCAAAGTTTAACACAAATCAAGTCTGTACGTGATGTTGCCTCCTCTTCAGTCACTATCCAACTGTTTTTCAACCAAATCGAGCTTCATTTGTTTGTAAACGTTAAGTGCAATATCTTGTTTCTAAATCAAGCAACAAATCATCGATCTAACACAGTCGAACAATGAAAACGAGCTCACACAAAGTGAACTCAAGCCACTTACCTTAATCAGATCCAGATCTGACTTTTGGCCAGAGTTCGAGGCGTTTTCCGGTGACTCCAATGTCGATGATCCTTTTAGACCTTCTATGGTTGACCCTCTTTGCTCCCACGAGCTCCTTTCCTCTTCTCTCTCTTTCTCTTCCTTCTCTCTCTTTTCCCTTTTTTTACTCTCTTCTTCCTTCTGAGCAAAAAATGGTTGAGCTGCCATCTTAGCTAGGGTTTTTCGTCAATCAAGAGAGGTCGAATGGTCTCAAGCCCAAGCCCATTGTGAAGCATGCATCGTGGAGAGTCCGGAGGTGGTCGCGACGTGCCATTTAGTGGCCCAGCGCAGAGAAAAGCTCAATGGAAGTCTGTAAGTCGAGGTGGATCGCACCCTGTTTTTGTCGGGTTGGACCGGTCGGTCTGTCTCCTGGACCGGTCGGTCCAGGCATCCTGTTTTCCATTTTTTGCATTTTTCTCGTCTCTTTCGCACGTGATGGTTCCCAGGTCTCTTCCCGATATCTTATGGTCCATTTTTAAGTTTTTTAAGACCCGTTGATCTAATTATTCTCTTCCAAAATTAATTAAATATTCGAATTCGGATTCAGGGTATTGCACTATATCTTGGCCAACATTGTTGAAAACCCCCCGACTTTGCTAGATTGATTTGCAAGTCATTGCATGTGGCAAACTCATTCAATAATGATGGAACTTCATTTACAGATTCTAAATTCCTTTTACAGAAGACAATAACATCATCTGCAAAGATGAGGTGCATAATTAGTGGATCTCGACATCTGTGATGTAGTGTCCATCTCTCGAGCCTCGCAGCTTGATTCAATGATTGTGATAAGAGCTCCATCGAGAATATGAACAGATACGGCGACAACAGATCACCTTATCGAAAACCACGTCTATCCTTAAAGAAACCATGTAGTTCCCCATTTATGGTGATCATTGAAAATTTAGGAGTTAGTGAAGCAACGTTCCAGCCATCTAATAATCCTATTCAGTAGGTTTATTACTTGAAGTAGCCTTAAAACCAACCGCCAATCAATTGAATCAAATATTTTCCTGATGTCTATCTTTACCATCACCATTGGAGGGACTCCTTGACATTCACATGAACGAAGTATCTCAGCTGCAAGGAGAATATTTTCAGCCATAAGTCTATCTTTCAAGAATGCTCTGCATGATTTCCGGATACCAACCGCTGAAGTATCGGCCTCGGTCTGAATCTTCGTGTCAAAATGGTGGATATAATCTTATATATAATGTTACAAAAACTTATCGGCCTAAAATCCGCAAGGGAAGACGCACCAGTTTTCTTGCTGATAACAAGCCACTATCTCACACACTGCAAATCAAGCTAGACGTTTACACATAAAAACGTCTTTCAAACGTAGTGTAAAAATGCATGTCTAATGTCTATAACTATAAATATTTAATTTATTTGGTAAATTGTGAATTTCTTCAATGATATGGTATCCGTTTATAATTTTTTTTTTATCGTCTAATCAAATAGCACCATTATTATTGGTTTGCAGCGTGGTTTACCCAATCCGCATCCACTATCCACGAATTTCCACGTTAAAAAAAATAGAACTATTGTTTATTTATTTTTTAAAATATAACAATTAGATGTGGAAAAATATATCTAAAATAAAGGAAAACACGTTTTTTTATAAAAAAAAATTGCATAATATTTTCCTAGAATTGATTGATTAAGAAAAATCAAAATTAAAACTTATATTTCTTCCGAAAAAAAAACTTAATTAAATTAAGTTGATATATAAAATCGAAGGGATCCATATATCATTTCGCGTATAAAAACCAATGACAATATATTGTTATTTCTATTTAAAATTATGTTAACAACTGGATTGATTCTTTATACAAAATAATTGAACAGAAATCCAAATCGAACCGAAACCGAATTTGACCAGTTCCAAAAGAGCTCATGGGATCTAAAGGTGGGCGATTACGTAGAGGATCCTAGCTATCGTCCTCCCTTCCCTTCCCTTAAAACCCTCGTTACTTGTCGGGAGTGAAACGAAAACGTTCACAGAATTACGATTCACGAAGAATCGTTTCGCCTATAAATCTTATCTTTGTTCCACGCCCTCTTCTTCAATGCCGTTTCTGTGAAAATTCAAAGAACAGGGAGAGTGAGAAGATTGGAGAAAATGGCTATTTCCCATCTCTGTTCTTTTTCGCTTCATCCTCTTTTTACCTCTTCCGTGGCGAAACTCCAACTTTTTCCTCCCCTTCGAGCAGCCCAGGTGAGCAAAGAGCTAACTACTCGATAACTTTGTTTTGGGTTGATGATGAACTTCGAATCAATGATATGGGTCTGAAGTTTTGAGGATCTAATTTTCGAGTTTTAGCTTTTTTGTTTTGCTAAGTTCTCGTCTTATTGATTAGGAGATTAGAGTTAGGAGGTGGCTTTTGTAGTTCATGTGAAATGGATTCAATTTTATAGTTCTTGATACTCTTTTTGTCCCCTCCAAAAGATGAACCTTCCTTTGTATATTTTGAAGGAAAACTAGAATTCATGAGATGGGTTCAGCGATTTCAGTCTGAAATTGTAGGTCATTTTGAGATTCAATGCCGATAAGTGCTTGTTTCTAGTTGTAGAAAGTATGATCTGAGTTTGCCCATTTGGAGATCGAAATCGGGTTTTCTCATTCTCCTATTTCGGTGAGAACTGTGTAGTGAGCCAATTAAACTAGTTGAAATGCACTTGAACGAATTATGAATTTTCCTTCAAGTTTTCATCGAAACAGTTTCGTGTGATGGAACCGGGATGTCTCCCGACAGGATTAGGTTTGCAGAAGTTGTTTATATTCTGACTTATAGTTTTCTGATTCCTCGTGTTATTTTTCTGGCAGTTCACTTCGAGATACGTTAAGGAGAATAATGACCGTATGAGTAGTAGCACAAATCGGGCTTGTTTTCGGAAGCGAGATTTCTGTTGCGCGGTTCATATGACGTCTGGACAATCTGGGGAGCCCGAGAAGCTGAATTTCGAAAATCTAATCGACAAAGCAAAAAGCGTTTGGGATAATTCTCCACAGCCCATCAAGGATTTTCCATGGGATCGGGCCTTTGGGAACTTTATCCAGATTGTCCTTGATCTTGTCATATCAGTCGTCAAGTACTTATGTGTTCCTTTACTTGCAATTTCTTCGGTCAGTGAGATGTCGTATTGTGCCCACGAGAGGAAACTATCTTTAGTCCCGTTTCCGTTAGTCATCGGTGTGGTTGTTGCTGGCATTCTACGGGAAACTGCTTTGGAGATCTCTCCCCGTCTTAAGGTACAAATAAGTGTAAACCCTTCTTGGTTTTGCCCATTCTCGATTTGTTTTGGAAGGTGAAAAAAATGAAACGGCGAGTTTTTCTCAAACAATGATGTTTCACTATTTCAATTTTCAGACAAGATACAGATAGCTGTTTTGTTCTTACAGGATGCAGAAGTGCCATGGCATTTCATCGCTATTATGATATTCTTTACGCTGCTTAAACTTCCGGGACCGTATTATCCGTACTGGGGACGGATATTGATCCCGCATTTTGCAAATGGGGTACTGTGGAGAACACTTTGGTCTCTGTTCTTTTGGTATAAAAGGCCTAGAAATGCGGCGGGAAATCCTCGGCAGAACAACAGTTCATGACCGGCAGCTTCTCTGAAACGGTATGGATATATTTCTCTATAGTAAAGTGCATTTGCTTATTGCTATGAACTCCAAAGTACAAAAGCACAAAGGCAGGAACAAGGCTGGTTGGTGCCCACAAACACACCTAAAAGCACTCATTCTCTAATGCAAAATGCAGGAATTCACTTGTACTCATGGAGATGGCATATATATATAGGGCCAAAGACATATATATATATGTGTATATATACATACTCGTGCTTATGGATGTGCATTTGCTAATGTGAACACACACATACACACAAGTATGAGTGCATGTTAGATGACTCGCAGTTTCTTGATGTAGACAACTCGCTTGCTTCCTGTGTAGGCTGCTGTTCCTTTAGGATCGAAGACTCAGGTCGGCTGATAATTTCAAGAGCTACCCGGAAAAGAAACCGAGTAGATTCTTTGGACAACCCAGGAGTAATCACAGATCTTATCTTTGAGCTAGGTATATCCAGTTTTTTTCCTATGTTTCCTTGAACTTGAACAAAGTCTTAAAAAAAAGAATTGTTTCTTATTCTTAGGTATATATATATATAAGAATATATATATATTCAAAGACTTAAAAAGAATTGTTTCCTATGTATGTATTTTTGAGTTGGTACTCAAAGACTATGTTCTTCGGCCATTGATAAGAAAGAAGCACTCTCTATCAGATAAGCAAGTTCAATAACCAACCGTTTGAGTTCGGTTCGATTAATAACCAAATAACCAGATTAACTGGATAACCATAGTTAACTGAATGATTATTATGGTTTAATTTAATTTTTAATGTTTTATCCTAGATATTTAAGTAATTTTTTTATAATTTCACTTTCCCCTCCCACACTTTATCTTTAACTTTAAATTAAAACATCTTGCCTTTAAAATTTTAAGTGGATATTGCTAAAAAAATCCATGTATATTCTCAGGTTAACAAAAAAATCTTTTACTTTTTTACTTACCAATTAAACTCTATAAATTCTGATTTTTTCTTAAAATTTGTCGAAAACCTTTATGTCTGCCAACTCAAACAAAAATGATGATTTGGCAATGACACGGGTTACAAATCATGCACACATCATTATAATTATATCATATCATCATTTCAAACAAATTAAATTAAATAATTTTTTAAATTAATATATATACATACAAATTTACACATATATATATATATCTACAATATATATATTATACATATATATATATATATATATATATATATATTATTTTTAATAGATATATTATATGTATATATATTAGTTATAATTACTTGGAAAAATCGCATATAAATACCCAAACTTTTACAAAAATCTCACATAAATACCTAAATTATAAAACTTTCAAACAAATATAATTATTTTTATTTTAATATGCATATTAGTTGTATATATATGTTGCATTTATAACTAATATATATATATATATATATATATTATTTTTAATAAATATATTATATGTATATATGTAAGTTATAATTATTTTTATTTAGAAAAATTCAAAAAAAAACACTGAACTTTTAAAATTTGACAAAAAAATACTGAACTTTTTATTTTATCAAATAAACATTAAACTTTTTAAGTTTGACAAAATAAATACTTAAGTCTTCAATGATTGTCAAGATAAACAAAATGACTGACGTGGTACAATCAGATGCAAACACGTCAGATTATTTTTCTTAGTTTTTTTTACAATCGAAAAAAGTTCATGTATTTTTTTGGTTAACTAAAAAAGTTTAGTGTTTTTTTGATAATCGGATAAAAGTTCATGTATTTTTTGGATCACTTAAAAAATTCAGTGTTTTTTTAGATTCGTTTAAAAAATTTAATGTTTATTTGATAAAAAAAATAAAGTTCAGTTTTTTTTTTGTCAAAATTAAAAAGTCTAGTGTTTTTTTGGGATTTTCTTTTTTTATTTTAATATGTATATTAGTTTTATATGCATATGTTATACATATTATTTTTAATATATATTATATGTATATATGTTAGATATAATTATTTTTATTTAAATATATATATATATATATATATATATTATGTATGTATATAAAATTAATTATAATTACTTTTATTTTAATATATATATGTATTAGTTATAACATATATATATGTTGTAGTTATGTGTATATATATTTTATTAATTATAAATAATTTTATTTTAAATATATATATATATATATATATATATGTATATATGAATTTATATGTAAATATATTAATTTAAATAATTTATTTAATTTAAATTTTATTTGAAATAATAATGTGACATAATTATGATGATGTGTGCATGATTTGAAAATTATGTCATTGTCATATCATTATTTTTGTTTGAGTTGACAGATACAGGGGATTTTCGGTGAATTTTTTAAAAGTTCGGAGTTTTATACGTTAATCACACCAAGTATAGAATTTAATTGGTAAACAAAAAAGTAAAGGGTTTTTTCGTTGATCTAATAAGAGTATATGTTTTTTTTGGCAATTTTTCTAATTTTTAATGATTAAAAATTAACTTTTTTATTTGATTAAAATCTTATTTTAGATATATTATACATTAATTTGTTACATGTTTGAAACAAATGAAAATGAAAAAATAGTTAAAGTTGATTTTTTTTAAAACATTCGCAGATTTTATGATTTATAATTTGAATTGATCATTTTGGAAGATTAATATTTTGTATTTTGATTTAGATGGATCATTTTAGAGATCAATATTAATATTAGGGAAAATCACAAAAAAAAACCTATATTTTTCAGATACCAATGAAAACTCTGTATTTTTTTATATTTACTCGTCGAAATATACATGTATTTTATTTTATCTAGCAAATAAGCTTATAAACGCAAATAAATAAATGTTACATTAGCTCAATGACCTATATTGGCTTCATAAATGTATATTCTACTTGGATTGATTTAATATATTTTTACTATAATATTCCATTTAAGTAATATAAGTTGGCTAAGAAAGAGACGAAGAAAACCGTTAGCCAAGAAAGAGCAAAGGCCTTTTAAATGATGTATGAGAAGCTCGGGACAAAAGAGGGAGAAAACGATATATATAGGATAGCTAAAGCGAGAGAGCGGAGAACTAGAGATTTGAACGTGGTTAGGTGCATTAAAGATAGAGAAGGTAATACTCTAGTTAGAGACGACGACATCAAAGAAAGATGGAGAAGTTACTTCGATGACCTATATAACAAAAGTATGGAAATGGACCACATAGAACTAGAGATCGTCACTAAGGAGAGGAATGTTGATTATACTAGAAGGATTGGATGTGTAGAGGTGAGGGACACGTTAAGAAAGATGAAAATAGGTAAAGCGTGTGATACCGATGGTATTCCTATCGAAGTATGTAAGTGTTACGAGAAGATGGAGTAATTTGGTTTACTAGGTTGTTTAATAAAATCCTAGTGTCGAAGAAGATGTCAAATGAATGGAGACAAAACACTTTAATTCCTATATTTAAAAATAAGGGAGATATCCAGAGTTGCACAAATTATAGATGCATCAAACTTATGAGTCATACAATGAAGTTGTGAGAAAGGATCGTGGAGTGACGTTTACGTAGCGACACATCTATTTCCGTAAACCAATTTGGTTTTATGCCCGGAAGATCTGCAATGGAAGCAATATTTCTCATTCGAAACTTGATGGAGAAGTTTCGAGATATGAAGAAAGATTTGCACATGGTATTTATCGATCTCGAAAAAGTTTATGATCGAAGACCAAGAGAGGTTTTATGGTGGGTGTTAGAGCGTAGGGGAGTATCGGTAAGGTACATACAAGTATTGAAAGATATGTATAACGGTGCGACTACTAGTGTCCGAACAACAGGGGGTGACACGCGAGATTTTTCCATCTCGATAGGGTTGCACCAAGGGTCCGCGCTACGTCCGTACCTTTTTGCATTAGTCATGAATGAACTGACTAGAGATATACACAAGAAAGTATCGGGGTGCATGATGTTTGGGGACGACATCGTGCTAATAGACGAGTCTAGAGAAGGAGTAAATGGACAGTTAGAGTTATGGAGAAGTACATTAGAGGTTAAGGGTTTTAGGTTTAGTAGGAGGAAGACTGAGTACATGCATTGTGACTTTAGTGGCAGACGTTCTAGTGATTTGGGAGTTATCTTGCAAGGAGGAACGGTACCTCAAAACCCGCATTTAAAATATCTTGGGTTAATCCTTTAGAAAAATGAGGGTTGCGACGAAGATGTTAGCCATAGAATAAAAGTGAGATGGATGAAATGGAGACAAGGCATGGGAGTTCTTTGTGATCGTATGGTTCCCCTACGGTTGAAAGGAAAATTCTACCGTACCGCCGTAAGGTCGGCATTGTTCTATGGTAGCGAATGTTGGGCTGCAAAAGGGTAACATATGTCTAAAATGAGTGTGGCCTAGATGAGGATATTGAGATGGATGTACGGATACACAAGGATGAATAGAATTAAAAATGAGATTATTAGAAAGAAAATAGGAGTAATAGACATCGAAGAGAAGATACGGGAGGGACGTTTAAGATGGTTTGGATATTACAACGTAGACCGATAGATGTGCCGGTTAGAAAAGTGGAGAATATAGGAATAGGTGTGAGAAGGAAAGAAAGAGGTAGACCTAGACTTACTTGAGAGTGTATAATTAGAAACGATTTGGAAGTGTTGCAGATTCCGAAAGAGTTAACTCGGAATCGAAATGAGTGGAGAAGAAGGATTTATACGGCCGACCCCAAATAAACTTGGGAATGGTTGTTGTTGTTGATTCCATTTACTTAGTATAGAATTCACATTATTATTTGTATATAAGTTCTATATCTTTTTAGAGAAAAATTTCGAAATTATAATAAATTTTAAAGATAATTAAAACATACTTTATTTTTTTAAAATTTATTCCTTTTAAACAACATATCGTACGGTATCCTAACACATATATTATATATATTTTTAAAATCTATAATAGTTTTTCAATCTATAATAGTTATTTTTATATTCATAAAAAATTGTGAGAATTTAACATTCTAATAAAAACAATAATTTTAGAAAAAAAATCTAAAAAAAATACCGAATTTGGAGATAACGTATTAAAATTTAAATGGAATATATCAGTTATGTGCAAATTCCACAATTTTTTTGGGATTTTCTCATAATTTTTCTGATTTTTATATTTTACGACCAATATATGCGACGACGCGAGCGTGAGAAATACCGCAAAACAGAATCTTTCATTCCCCAAAATCTTCTTGACATTTTCCAAAATTTGATCTTTAGTTCTCTGATTCTCCCTTTCTTTAATCTGTCACATTTCCCTCGCAAAGTCTGTAACACTGCCAAGATTCTCATTCCTAACCCGTCTTCTATAAGTTTCCTCTCTTGCCGATCTCAGGTTGGTTCTTCACCCTCTTCCGCATACTAAGTTGGGACCTGAAACGATTAGAGGGGAAGAAGAAACTGGCGGGCAGATTCGAGGATTTTCTCCGGAAACCCGACGTTTCCGGGAAAACTTTTGAGTTCTCTGGGCAGAATTCTGGAGCTTAGGATCGATTTCGGAGATGGGTTCTTCAGGGGATCAGCTGAGTGTGCATTCTCTAGTGGAAACGATCCGAGATATTCTAAAAAAGATTTTGAAGATCGAAGATGTTTCGGAGAGACTTTCGAGACTCAATGATTTCGTCAAGGATTTTCAAGAAGAGATGAAGAAGATCGATGGCTACAAACGCGAGGTTCCTCTCTCCATGCTATTGGTAAAAGAAGGTTGGTCTCTATTGCTTATTCCTGTCTCTAATCTTTTAGCAAATACACTGTCTTAGTATTCGGCATGATTTCTCTGAGAAATTTGGGAGTTTGACAACTGGGTTCCTCGTAGGATTTGAGATAGCAGGTGGGATTTTGTTCGTGATGATTTTTATGTTGTTTTTACTTTTGCAGCGATATCGTATTTGAAAGAGGAAGCTAAGAAATGCTCGGCGGAAAATGCTCGATCAGTTTCCGGAGAATCTATGCCTTTGAAGAAGCGAAGGAGAAAAGCAGAAGAATGCACTCAAGAAACAAAAGAGGAAGAAGAAGAAGATGGAAACACTATGAAATGGCTCAAGAGCGACAAGGAAATGATGAAGAAGAACCGGGTGAGTCCTGTTCAGCTCCGCAAACAAGATGATCACACTTCCAATCCCTCTCAAAGGAGAATTCCAGATCGGAA